AACCTAGCAGGTGACCTGGCAGGCAACCTAGCAGGTGACCTAGCAGGTGACCTGGCAGGCAGCCTAGCAGGTGACCTGACAGGCAGCCTAGCAGATGACCTGACAGGCAGCCTAGCAGGTGACCTGGCAGGCAACCTGGCAGGCAACCTAGCAGGTGACCTGGCAGGCAACCTAGCAGGTGACCTGGCAGGCAACCTACCAGGTGACCTTGCAGGCAACCTACCAGGTGACCTTGCAGGCAACCTACCAGGTGACCTAGCAAAAACAAAAACAAAAAGTTAGATAAGCTAGATTAGAAGGCAATGCCCGAGATGAAGTACTCATAAATACTTTCTTACACGTGGAACTATTTTTTTGTTCTTCATGATGAGTTCTTTATATATTATGACAATGAACATATACTGTTGAAAATGTTTTTTAGTTTAGAGCTCCCTGGAGTTGTCTTTATCGTCATATTTTAACATGAGTAAGTATTCAATCTGGAAAAGCCTCTTCACTTCACTCTTACGCGTAGGGATATGCAAACAACTGGTGTCTAGTTGAATTTTCAGTTACAGCATTTCGTCAAACTTTGTAGAAACGTACATGATTTGTTAATTTTTCCCGTAATTGTATCAGTATGGCCACTTTCACATATGAACAGGGAGACATCATCGAGGCAGTTGATGGAGCGAATCGATGGGCAGTTCCCAAAGTACGACAAATCCACGCAGACAGTAACACGGAAGTGACTTTTCCAGGGTGGTCGAAACGTTATGTTCTAAGACTTATTTTAAATGATCACGAAAAATGTGTATGATTTCTGTACGATCGTGATATATTAACACAAACGCACACTCCACATGATTTTCTAAACTGGCACGTCAATCGATGTCTAAAAGTAGTTCTAGTCAGTACACATTTGTTTACACATTGTTATGTGGCATAAGATAACAATCTTTATAATTAATTAAATAAGACTAATGTCCTGATCATAAACTGATAACCAAGTGAGGAAGTGGGGTACATTTTTTTAATGGGTTGTTCCCGTAATGAGCAGGTGACCTGGCAGGCAGCCTAGCAGATGACCTGGCAGGCAACCTAGCTGGTGACCTGGCAGGCAACCTAGCAAACTTTTCTGTTCTGTAGTGAAACGCTCAGCACATACTTACTGTATAACAGAAAAAAAAGCACGAAAAAGTTCAGTAAAAATTTCATTTGACTCTTCCAATTCCATACAAATATTGTAGGATTTAACCATAGCTAAATTCTCAAGCAGGTAAAAATAACGCTTCCAAAATGGACCTTCAATATTGTCCAAACCACGAAGCTGCTTTGTTAAAAACTGGAAAATATTCTGAAAAGAGAAGTGAGCAAATGTGAGCAAACAATCACACGTGGCAATGTTTTGAAATAGAAAAAAACGTCAAAATAAGCGTTATAAAATGGAGTTTTTGTTTAGAATAAAAGCACAGTCATAGATACTGTCATAACCATCAATAATTTAAAATTAAAAAAAATATTGAAAAAAAAACACATTAAACGTATGCTAACCCCTTAACACGTGTTTATTGAAACTGTACAAAGGGCAAAACATTGTTACTTAACGACAGTAAAAATTTGTATTGAAATAAAACTGAGAAATTGTTGTCCATGGTGGTAATGAAGTGTGTATGTGAACAGATTGCAAAAAATGTGAAAACTGATGTCAATACAGTCTGTTAACTATGGCCTATTTTTGCAAAAATGTCTGGCAGGATAGCATGCACAGATGCTGGCTACTGGAGTGCATTGAATCATAACCGTTTTTCATCGACTAACCTGATAGCCTGAAACTCCACTGATCGGAAAAGGGTTAAGGAGTGTTGATGAAATCTACTTGATAAAATGTAACAAAAAACACACACGCAATAACGCGTAAGAGTTTATTCATCACGTACTAGTATCAACCAGGAAGGCAACATTTTTTGGAAGAGTGTTGATGGAATATACATCTAAAGATGTAAAACAATTCCAGGCACGTGGGCATTCACGCACACTACTGCCCTGGAAGCAATTAACTTCCCACGCGTAGGGTATACAATGTTGCATTTGCAATATTACTCATGCCCAACACATGCTATGTTAATGATTCAGTCCAAAAAGTGTGTGTCAGACATGTGTTCTGTCTCTTTGGGGGAGTGGCTGGGAGTGGTACTAAGATCGATTTTGCGCAATGATCGCCCCCGTCCTCCTTTGATTGGCGGCGCTGAGTTTAAGTATTTGCGCGAATCGCGCAATCGCACAGCCTAGATGAAAACACTGGACGGATGGATGGGGACTAAAAAGTTAATGAAGCTATAAACAAAATGACTATATCAATTTACTTATCTTACCTTCAGTTCTTCAGCAGTTTTATATGGAGCTTCTGGAGCAAATATACGAAAAATATCAGCAACACAGCAAGCCACCAAGAGGCGAACATCTTTACTACCATGAAGTAAAAAGAAATCACTTGCAATATACATTGCTAATGGTTCATATGGGTCTTTCTCTTCTTCCTGATCCATATCTTGGAAGAATCTGGCAAGAGCCTGTATGATTGATAAAGAGAATATATGGAGTAAAGAATGTACATACACACAATTGCATTATTTAAAGTGCAAGTTTGGTGTACTTAAATCCCATAAAAAAAGATGTGAAGATTTAGGATTTAGCCAAATTTTGATATTGAAGCGTAGGGTTAAGGTTGATAGTATCATATTTGCCTAATCTTTTACCATAATTCTAATTCCAACAAGACACCTAAAATTAATTGGCCAAACAAGAAATCTCAACTATGTTTTAAGGAATTAAACAAAGTTCCTATAAATATGTGCTCTCAGCAGCCATCAAACATTTACCTCATGGTTTAATTTTATGTCCCAGGTTTGTTATTCTCATGAGACATACTGTCTCACAAAAGTTGCAAAAGAACACAAGCGACAATTTGTATGAGTGAAATAAACATCTGAGGAAACTGTCTGTAGTTCCACATAGATAGGTAATTGTCTATATACTCTAAACTGGTGGAACAATTCCAACCCATGTAAGTTCAAATGGGGACTAATCATTCATATTAATGACAAATATTTTAAAAACAAAGTTGACTCTGGTGACCAAATATGAACTGCTTTATTATATTCATTGTATGATTACTGTATTATTTGAAAAGTAAAAAACGCCTTCTATAAATAACATGTTGCAAGCTCTGCCTTGTGTGCAAATCAACTTAAATAGTTAGTTGGTGTCCAGTGAAGAGTGATTTTCTGACATCTTGGTTTCTGTAAAGATTTTATTGGTAGATTTGTAAATGTGTATCAGACTGTGCAAAAACTCTCTCCATGAGTTGGTTTTGAAACCTAGTCTACTATTCCCATGGGATTTGGGATACACTAGAATGATATTATTACAAGATAAATGATTTGCATCAATGAACACAGACAAAGCATAATTCCACTGAGATCAGTGAAATTTGAATGTGCATAATCAGTGATCAGTCAAGTCGAAACAGTCAAATTTCTCAATTTTTGCATGATATTTTCATACAGGACATCTGTTGTTCATACTCAGGGAAGACTTTATACTGATGAATAAGGTGACCAAGTTTGATAAAGTCTGGAATAGAATTAGTTATTGTGTTACACAATAATGATTAACGACAACGACGACAACGCCAGACAGAAATTTTTCCATTAATATACCTTTGCCTTCCATCTGTGATGGTACGGGCAACGTAAAATGATATTAGACACGTTTCCTTTCTGCAATAGACTGAATTTTTACCTTGAGTCTCTTAATAAGTTCATCTTTGGTTAAATCATGTGTAATATCCTTGACTCCTGCAGGATAGACGATATCCAGGTGTTTATGGCTGTGTGACAGAGTCATTTTAATGAACCTAAAATAGCAGAAAGAAACGAGTCATTGACAATCACACGCCACTGTAAATATATACTGGAATGTCCATGTGTCCCATCATGGCTATGAGTCAACCAGGCATGTCTGAAAAACTGCTTTTTAAATGAAACAAATTTTTGACAAGATGTGTAAAACATGAAATAATGCATCGCAGTAAAGTATAAATGCCATCTAGTCAGACACTTCAGGTCTCATTGTGTTCATGTACATAATATAATCTTTTTATTAATTCAATCCACAAAATAATTATTTTTCGGAGTGACCAAAATATAGAAACAAGCAGCCTATC